CAGACCAGACATCTCCTCGGGTCCAGAGGGCTGCGCAGGTAGATGTTTGACAGCCGGCCTCCAGAGGGGAAGACCCTGAAGTACAGCATTTGCCAGTCTCCATGGTGTAAGTATTCTCACCACAGCCAAGACTGAGCCACTGACACGATACCACTGAAGGCGGCGTGGTGAGAGGCGCAGCGTGGTGAGCCAGCCGCAGGACCCTGCTGCGTCTAGATTTACATGCCACGTGCATGCTCCACATCTGTACCTGGAGGCAAAATGAGCATCTCAGAATCAGCATGTACAGAGCTGGACTGGTTCTCCCTTCCTCACACAGCCATGTCCCCTTCCAGGGCTGCCTCTCTGAACGCACGTATGGCCCCCAGTGCCGCTGGTGTTACAAGGCAGACCCCGGACACCAGAGTCATCCTGTGTGTTCCCCTTCCTCCTCAGCGCCACATCCAGGCCACCACAGGTTCTGCCAGTTTCACTTCCTAAATATTCACAGTCTGTTTTACTCCTCCCTAGACTGTGTCATCATCATTAATTGCCTGGATTATGGAAAAGGGCCAAGTGGTTTTCCTGTATCCAATCTTGCACACACATACGCTCAACCCATTTTCCTACTGCTGACCAGAGAGATCTTTGACATGTAGATCTGAGAACATCATTCCTTTGCCTGAGCCCTTCGATGGCCTCCAGCGGCTCGGGATAGTCATCGGAATCCATGAGGCGGCCTGCAGGCACGTCTCCTGCCTACCTCGTGGGCCTCAGTCCTGTGCTGCTCTGGCTCCTTCTGCTTCAGCCACCCTGACTGTCCTTCAGTGCCTCAAACACGCCAAGTCCTTTTTCAGTTCAGACCTTTGTACAAAGTGTTCTCTCCACCTGGAAATTACTTGATCCTACCAACTCCTTATTCTTTGATCTCAGCTAAATTTTTAGAAGGTTCATCCCAAATCTCCCAGTTTGAAAATATACCTCTATTTTTATCTTCCGTAACATCCTGCTCTTGGTTTATACCCTCAACAGCAGTGTATGAAAGCCAACACTTGGTATCAGCAAGCCTGAAGATATTTGACAACCTGGTGTGGTGGCATCTCATTGTGACTTTAGTTTGCATTTCCTAATAAATTTCAGCATTTAAAGTATGTTGCCCATCTGGGGTTTGGTGTGTGCCTGCCTGTTTGGGTGGGTTGTGTTATTCTTGGTAAGTATTAGTAGGAGCGCTTTACATAGGGTGGAGACTAGAGTTCGTGGATTACTCATATCACATGTGTCTTCTTCCCTTTTTCTCTTGTTTTCTCATTCTCTTCAAAATGTCTTTTGATGAAAATCAATTTTTAAAATTTGAAGTTATCAAATATTTTATTTTTTCTTTTAATTTCTAGTAGTTTTTGTATTCTTTAGAATTTCTACTTGTAATTCAGGCCTTGAAAGAGTCTGTTGAGCTAAGCTCTGTCAGGTTTTGTTTTTCTGAAACAATTTCTTTTTAAAAATTTTTATTGTAGTATAGTTGATTTAAAATGTTTGTTTCAGTTGTACAGCAAAGCAATTCAATTATACATATACATACATTTTTTTCTTTTCAGATTCTTTTTCATTGTATTTTATTACAAGAAATTGAATATAGTTCCCTGTGCTATACAATAGGTCCTTGCTGTTTATCTAATTTATGTATAGTAATGTATATATGTTAATCCTAAACTCCTAATTTATCTCTGCCCTGCCCTTTCTCCTTTGGTAACCATAGTTTGTTTTCTATGTCAGTTATTTCTTCTTCTTGAAAAAATAATTTGACTGAGTATAGACTTTTAGGAGAATATATTTTATATATAGTAGTGTGTATCTGTTAATCCCAAATTCCTAATTTATCCCTTTCCCCCCTGGTAACCATAAGTTTGTTTTCTATGTCTGTGAGTCTGACTCTGTTTTATAGATAAGTTCATTTGTGTCCTTTTTTTAGATTCCACATGTAAATGATATATGATATTTGTCTTCCTCTGTCTGACTTCACGTCGTATGACAATCTCTAAGTCCATCCGTGTTGCTGCAAATGGCATTATTTCATTTTTCATGACCAAGTAGTATTCCATTGTATAAATACACCACATCTTCTTTATCCAGTCCTCTGTTGATGGACATTTAAGTTGTTTCCATGTCTTGGCCACTGTAAATAGTGCTGCTGTGTACACCGGGGCACGTGTATCTTTTCGAGTTAAGAGTTCTCGTCTTTTCCGGATGTGTGCCCAGGAGTGGGAAGGAAGAAGAAAGGATGTTATGTTTGCAGATTGAGTCCATGTGTCTTATGGCAGGAATCTGAGGGATCTCGGATCTTATGGCTTCTTTTCTCTCTGAACTGGCAGCAGGGCTGCATTTTGAGAGTGAAGGTCCAGGTGATGGTGTGATGAGTTTTAGGCAAGTCTGACTTAAGGCAAGTAGGAAGATGGTAGAATATATTCTTGGCCCAACCAAAGCTGAAAATCAAGAATTCACAGCAGACATGTCTGTACAGTTGTGTGACTTCCCGCAGCAGCATAACTAGATTGCATGAAGGGCAGAGAGGGGCAGCTGAATGGTCCCTGTTCAGAACAGAGTAACATTTTCTAGGCCCCAGAGTTCTTAGCCTTTTGCAAAGAATCTTTTTTCCATATAAGGAAGATGCTCCCGTGCTTCTCCTTTAGTCTCCCAAACCACACACACGCCACGCTTCCCTTCTTACACGAGAGGCATAGGTTTTCCATCACGCAGTCTCTGACACCAGCTGGGTGTCCTATGATTTAACTCAATCCTAACACTGTGCCTAGAATTAACGTTGGGTCCCACAGGCGGCTAGGAGCTCAGTCCCACAGGGCTGCCCTCCCTCTGCTCAGGTGCCGATCACGAGGCCCAGGTCGTCCTCTCTGCTTCTGACTGGTGGGCCCCCACTGCCTGCTTCTTGGGTTTGATAATTTGCTAGATTGGCTCACAGAACTCAGGGAGACACTTACTTACATTTACTGGCTTAATATAAAAGGATATGATGAAGGACACAGATGAACACCCTAAGGGAAGAGACGCACAGGGCAAGGTACAGGAGAAGGGGTGGAGCTTCCACGCCACCTCCCGGTGTGCCAGCCTCCAGCACCTGCGCGTGTTGAGCAACCCAGCACTCTCAGAACAAGTACTTGGGGGATTTTAATGGTGGCTTCATTATGTGGGCATGATCCCCTCAGTCTGCAGCCCCTCCCCTCCCTGAAGGTTGGAGGGTGGGGCTGAAAGGTCAAGCCTCTAATCATGGCTGGGTCTTTCTGGTAACCAGGCCCCGCCTGGAAGCTGTCCAGAGGTCCACCAGGAGTCGCTTCATTAGAACAAAAGATGCTCTTGTCACCCAGGAAATGCCAAGGGATTTAGGGAGCTCTGTGTCAGGAACCAGGGAATGGAGGAGGGCAGAGGCCAATGAATATATCTTCTGTTATTTCACATTCCCCCTCCCCCCACTCTCTACACAGTTTCCCCATTTTTAGACTCATTCTCCTTGATTTAAGTTTTAGTTCCATTAGATTGTTGTTCTCAGTTTCTGTGACTTGACTTAGCAAGTTTCTGTCTTCATCTTAATACATCCCTGCGACACTTCATAGAGTTGGTTATTTCTTCAGGACAGGACTGTTCCAGTAAGCAGTCATTCCTGCTGACTTCGTCCTCAAGGATTAGTCATCTTAACGTTCGGGGCACATCTCACTATATATAACCTTCTGTGTGCTGACTGCAGGTGCAAGGAGATAAGGAGACAAGACAGTGCTCGCTGGAGACACTGTAGCAGAAGCCGTCAAATGTCTGTGTGCGCCAGTTACGTGGGGCGCAAGTGGACGCGTGGGAACATGGGTTGTGGACCCTGCTCTTTTTCTTTTTTATTGTAGGAGATTTACCGTGTTGTGTTAGTTTCTGGTGTACAGCACAGTGATTCAGTTATACATGTATAGGTACATATTTTTTCATTATGGGCTGTTACAAGGTATTGAATATAGTTCCCTGTGCCGTACAGTAGGATCTTACTGTTTATCTATTTTATATATGGTAGTTTGTATCTGCTAAACCCAAACTCCCAATTTATCCCTCCCCATCCCCTGATCCCTCTGGTAACCATAAATTTGTTTTCTGTCTTTGAGTCTGTCTCCATTTTGTAAATAAGTTCATTTGTGTCCCCCCCCCACCTTTTGTTTGGATTCCACACATAAGTGGTATCATGGTATTTTTCTTTCTCTTCCTGGTTTACTTCATTTAGTATGACGATCTCCAGGGCCATCCATGTTGCTGCACATAAGCTACAGTAATCAAAACAGTCTAGTATTGGCATAAAAAGAGACATATGGATCAATGGACTAGAAATAAACCCACACACTTACAGTCAGTTACTCTTCTACAAACAAGGCAAGAATATACACTGGAGGAAAAACAGCTTCTTGGACAAGGGGTGCTGGGAAAGCTGGACAGCCACATGTAAATCAGTGAAGTTAGAGCACTCCCTCACACCATACACAAAAATAAACTCAAAATGGCTTAAAGACTCAAACATAAGACAAGATGCCATAAACTTCCTAGAATAGAACATACGCAAACATTCTCTGACATAAATCTTAGCAATGTTCTCGTAGGACAGTCTACTGAGGCAACAGAAATAAGAGCAAAAATAAACAAATGGGACCTAATTAAACATAACCTTTTGCACAGCAAAGGAAACCATAAATAAAATAAAAAAACAACTTACCACGAATGGGAGAAAATATTTGCAAATGATGTGACTGACAAGAGCTCAATTTCCAGAATATACAAACAGCTTATACAACTTAATAACAAAAAAACAAACAACCCAATCCAAAAATGGGCAGAAGACCTAAACAAACAATTCTCCAGTGAAGACGTACAAATGACCAATAGGCACATGAAAAAATGCTCAATATCGCTAATTATCAGAGAAACGCGAATCAAAACTACAATGAGGTGTCACCTCACGCCAATCAGAATGGCCATCGTTCAAAAGCCCACGAAGGATAAATGCTGGAGAGGGTGTGGAGAAAAGGGAATCCTCCTACACTGCTGGTGGGAATGCTGTTTGGTGCAGCCACTGTGGAAAACAGTATGGAGATTCCTCAAAAGACTGGAAGTAGAGTTACCCTATGACCCAACAGTCCCGCTCTCGGGCCCTGCTCTTAGGGTCTCTCACTCAGTGGGTCTGGGACGGAACCAGAGAACTCGGATTTCTCCCAAGTTCCCAGGTGGGGCATGTGGTTCACCTGGGACCACACTTAGAAACCGTGGTGCTGAGATGATGGGACAGGCGCTGACAGAGGGTCACAGCGGCGATCAGGTGGTGCTCACCTTCAAAGTGCACACAAAGTCAAGTTTAAAACGCACTTTGTGCATGTGCACAGGAGGCCGTTTCTCTGGGCTCCTCAGTTTCTTTCAGAAGCGTTCTGCTCACTCGTTTCTGTGTCGCACTTATTTAATCGAGTCTACGTGTGAAGGCAGATGGAGGGGACGGGGACCTGGGACCCTAAAGATGGGGAGGAAACCACCCCAGCCCCCTAAACACAAAGGGAGATGACGAATGGCTTCTAATGGTTGATGAGAAAGAAATGTTACAATATTTCATAGGCCCAAATCAACCAAAAGCTTTGGTTCCAGTAAACCAAACTGGGTCTTACTTAGAATGAGAGCCAAAAAATGAACTTGTATCAGATATATAGTACAGACAAGACATGCCAAATAAACACTGCTTTTTATTGATAATAAATATTAAGGTCACAAAAATCAAAACACATCAACATTTCCAAAACTAGTCATCAGGAAAATTTCTGAAGTAATGGAACAAGCAACTGTAACAAGGGGCCTGGGTGAGTGAACTTGGCCAGTTTCCTTGGAAGCTGCCTAAATCTTGTCTTCGGTCTCAAAACTCATGTCTGCAGTCAGCTCGTCTGAAAAAGTAACCCTAGCTTTCTTGGTTACATGAGTGAATTTTGTGCTCCAGAAAGAAATTAGAATAAAAATAAGAATAGTGAATAGAGAAGCAAAGTTAAATCTGTGGAACTAAATCTTTAGTAACCCAGCTGGGATGTAAGTGCAGTGATCCATCGTGTGTTCACTGTAATTCACTTTCATTGTAATATTGCGTCCTAACGTGCTCAGAGCACTGGAAAGACTTAAAGACCCATTAAGTCTTTGGAAGACTCTCATTCATTTTTGTTATCAATCATTTGTTTAATGTTGAGTCAAATTTTGTAACTTCATAACCTTATATTTAATAGCTATTTAATAATTTAGCTTTGTCTTTGATAGTTCAGCTTATGAAAGTAGTGGGTGAAATATTTAGGGAAGTGTTAAGTGTTTAAAAAATGATCAACGATGATAAAAAAGTACGAAAAACAGGGAGCGTATTTTCCTCTCCACATATAAAAGCTGCTCAGATATTAAAGAATTTTTATCATAAAACAGACTGGCCAACTGAAGAACCAACTAATCTCTTTTATAGAAAAGAGTGGTATTTATTGGGTGTGGAGGACACTACAGTCTGTTTATCAAGAGAGTCCCCTCTCAGCTGGCGTGCTCTTGTTGCCGCAGTCACTCTGCTGGCCCCTCTCCACAGACCTCGCTGCTGAAGCTGCGCATCTTGTTTTTCTTCCCGAGAAGAGCACAGTTACTTATTATCTGGGACCATTTTCCAGTTCCACTAGAGAACAGATGAACTGTGTAGTCCCGTAATCTTGCAAAGGCATTTGGCCTGGAAGATGCTCCTTGGCTGTCTGCCATCATCTGTGGATCCAGGGACAACGCTGAGTTCGTCCAAAATGAGCAACTTTAACCTTAATGCTTAATTTCTGCTCAGCTCTTCAGAACTGGCTCAATTTTAGTCCCAGGATGAAGTTTATGAAAAGGAATTTCCATGTCCAAGGAAGAACCAAGACTGCTGAGAGGTAACAGTATGAAAACAGAAAAGAAAAAAAACTCTCCTAAACTGATTTTATTAACTGTCGATAATTACTTTAAAATATTTAATATGGTCTCCGACCATATCAACCTGTGTCAGGAAGCCGAATTCACATGATCCTTCTGGGAAGCCAGTCAGTGGGAAGCCTGGCTCGCATGTTGGCGAGGAAACCAATAGAGGTATGGCAGCTCTCCTGTTCCCTCGCCCCCCTCTTTTCTTCCCCCTTTACCTGCCTTCTCCGTGGACAACTGGCGATTTATGGCCTTTCAGTACTTACAGATGATGTTTTCATAGGCTCTAATGAGGTCCCAGCAGTTCCTAACAATAACAGGACATTACTGTTCCTAAGATATATTATGTGTTTCCCCTCCTCCTTCTCCCTTGAATGAAATGCTTAGAAGTACGTTAGCTCCCAGCTCCCTTTCCTTTACTGTGATGAATGGTCCACTTACTTAATAGGGCTAAATACTTTGCTGTGACTTTTATAATACTCGCTTGAATTTGAGTAACATCCTACAAGGAAGAGCTTTGGACACTTCCTGGTAGAACACCTGAGCGCGGGCAGAGCACCTGCTGGCCGTCGGCCTGGGGAGCCCTCTCCAGCACCGCCTCGCTAGGCCAGCTGTGCCTCCTGCTGGCCGTTCTGGAGGCATTCTGACGCTCGCCCGTCCCCCGGTTCTGAGTCCGGCCCCAGCCACGTGAGCCGGCCTTACCAAGGACTGGCCCTGCCACCAGGCTGCCTGGAAAGGTCAGGCCTCTGCTGCCAGACCACAGAGCCGTCACTTGGAGGAGACTCACTCCTGACGGTGGCAACAGGGCCGAGAGCCAGTCTCCAGGTGTTCTCTCCTTAAAGGTCAGACAGCCTGAAAGGAAGCCACACAGAAAGGACCCTCGCCGTGCCCACGATGTGACACCCGAGCTCCTCAGCACAGCGGGCATCTTCCTTTGAGGAGTCAGGGCCCGGGGACGCTTTCAGCCAGAGGGGCTTCGAGGCGGGCACGCGCCGCGGCCCTGTGTCGGCGCTGGGTGCTGCGCCGGGCGCCTCTCACCGTGCCCTGAAACGGCGTGTTATAAGTGGGCTGGTTGGGTCTCCAGCACGGCAAGGAAGCCGGCTTGAAAACCCGTTCTGGGAAATGCACTGACTCATTTGTTTGGGTTCAGAAAGTAGTCGCTGGGCCTTGAGAACTCAGCAGGCCGGCAGCAAGGCCCCCCCACAAACACCTCGTGTTTGCGGACCGGTGGCCCCAGTCCTCCTCCATCCCAGGCGTTCGCTCTATGGCCCGTCGCTTCCCTGCTCACACTCAGGACTCAGTTTCTGGAGACAGCTCTGCAGAGCCTCCCTTTCTGGATTCCTGTGGGAGAGAAACCACAGAGCCGTTCAGCACCACCTGCAATAACCCTCGTTTTCCGTCCTGTCTTCTGGGCAACTGCCTTTGTGCTTTGCACACACGTATCGACTGAAAATGACTCCCAGGCAAGAGCAGAAAAAGCAGCCTGGTGGTCCGCTCCACGCGGACCCGACGTTGTCCCGCTGCGTTCACATCCTCGCGCCCCTGCACCCCAACCCGGCGGCCTCCTCTACCCTGGGGCAGGAGGGGCCCTGCCGACGATGCTCTTTGTAGGGCCAGCTCCTTGGGATCCATTCTACTTAGTGGTTGTTGGTCCCTTTTATCCAAACAAGCCGTCTGTCCCAAAAAAGGATCAAATGGAAAACTTTATAAATACTCCAAATGGTGGAAACAGGAAGTGGAATAAAAGTGATGCAGCTATTCACAGAAAACATGCTGTCACTTCTCCAGAAATGTATCCTATTCACGTTCAGAAAGAGGCTAGGCCCAAAGCCAGGGAGAAGCCCCCACTGCCTCCAGCTTTGGACCGTCTCCAGAGCTGCCCCCTGTCGTGTGCAGGTGCCCTTGGGGTGCGCGGGGGCAGGGAGACCCGTGAGAGGTAGGTGAAATGCAAGTGGTGCCTGGTGGGGACCCTGGGGGCCGGTGCCCTGTGACTTGTCGAACAGATATGTCCTCAGCACCAAGTGTAAGTGTAGCAGCGGCAGCCATCCCGGTTCCCGTGACCTCAGTCCTAACCGCATCCAACCTCTCCCTGTTACCCTCATTCACACGACATCAGTAATGACAGCTGACATGCAGAATGCTTGCCGTCCTCGGGGTGCTGGGCTAGGCCTTCACAGGGGTCGACTCGTCTCACCCGCAGCAGTCCTACGTGGGCGGTGTTGTCAGCACCCCGTGTTCAGATGAGCAGGCTGATGCCCCAAGAACGACTGGCTCTCCTGAGGGCACAGCTCGGAGGTGAGGAGCTGAGACTCATGGCCAGGTGGTCGGGCGCCAACCCCGTTGCCTTCTTAGTACCCCTTTATTGTGGGTTGAGAAAACACTAAAAAGCAACCACTATGAACAAGTCAAATTTTAAAAATTGACACTGCTTGGACCTCATGAAATATTAAATGAATGTAATTTTGATGGGGTTGCTTGACCTACACAGTGAAACAGGTGGCATCCAACCCAGTCACATAACAGAGAGCGTGGAAGGTGCCAGACAGTGGAGACCCGCTGAAGGTGGAGGAGAGACTGGAGTGATGTGGCCACAAGGGGGAGGCTGGCAACCCCCAAACCTGCAAGAGGCTAGAGGTGGCTTCTCCCCTGAAGCCTCGGGAGGGCGGACAGCCCCACTGACATCGTGATGTCGGCCCAACGATGCTAGGTTCACACTGCTGGCCCCCCGAGTGCGGCTGCCTGAATTCTGTCTGTCATTCAAGGGTCGAGGAGAAAGAAGAGGACTGAATGCCTGTCCTCTGTGGTGCACTGGTTCGAATCAGCTGTTTTCAGACGTCTTGGCTTTGGTGCCCCTTCTCACTCAGAAACGTTGCTGAAGACTCTTCATGCACAGTGTATCTGCAGATATACACTATATTCGAAGTCAAAACTGAGCAAATTGAAAAATGCTTATTAATTCATATAGAAATGGCAGACCTGTTACATGTTGACATAAGAACCATAATTTTATGAAAATGGCAGTTTCCAAAACAAAACAGTGAGTAGAGTGGCATTGTTTTACATTTTTGCAGATCACCTTCCTTTCTGAAGACAATTGGATTCTCCTACTTGCTTTGCGTTCAGTCTGTTGTTCTGATTGAACTGTATGGAGAAAATCTGGGCTCACATAGATGTACCTGCAAAAGGAGGAATTCTTTAATAGCCTTTTGGATAATTACAATTATTCTTCTCTGAATCTTCATAAAAAATTAATGATAATTATTAAAAGTTAGGTGTAACGTAGGCTCTGGAACAGTATCCTTGAATTTTGGAACCACGCTACTGCAAAATCCATTGGTGTATTTTGTACTTTGGCTCTTTTTCACCCATGAATAATTTTTATTTATTTCTTTATTTTAAAATTGTGGTAATATAGGCATAACATAAAATTCACCGTCTTGACCATTTTTAAGTGTACAGGGCCGTAGTTTTAAGTGCATTCACCTGACCATGCAGCCATCACACCCTCCATCTCCAAGACTCTTTCCATCTTGAAAAACTGAAGGAGAAGGAGAAGCTCCCTCTGCTCAGCCGCCTGGGTCTGCTCGGGCTTCAGCTGGATGCGAGGAGGCACACTCACATCGTGGGCGACAGTCTGACGTCTGTCTGATCAATGCTGATCGCATCCCTGGACACCCTCACAGACACGCTCAGAGCAGTGTTTGACCAGCTGTCGGCACCGCCTGGACCGGGCAGGCTGGCACGCAGAGTCAGCCATGACAGCAGCTGTCCTGGGGGCGCGAGGTGGGAGCTCACGGTGCTCCGGCCGTGCTTTTCCCAACTGACTGGTCTACCACCTCTCCTCGGCTCGTTGGCCTTTGTGCATCTTCTTTGAAGAAGTGGCCATTCAAATTCTCTCCTCATTTTTGAATCAGTTACTTGGTTTTCTGCTGTTGAGTTGTAGGGGCTTTTATATATGCTGGACATTAACGTCTTATCAGATATATGCTTTACAAATATTTCTTCCGTTCTGTGGGTTGCCTTTTCACTCTGTTGGCTTGTGTCATTTGATGATAGAGGTTTTTAATTAAAATTTTTTCTGTGAAAAGAAGTGCATAACATGAAATTTACCATCTTAACCATTCTTAAGTGTACAGTTCAATAAAGTTAAGCATAATCACATTGTTGTGCAACCAAGTTCCTAAACTTTTTCATCTTGCAAAACTGCAATTCTGTACCATTAAAAAAGTTCACCATTTCCTCCTCCCACAGCCCATGGCAGCCACCATTTTACCATCTGTCTCTGTGAATTTGACTCCTCTAGGTACCTCGTGTAAGTGGAATCACAGTTTTTGTCCTTTTGCGATTGGCTTATTTCATTGAGCATAATGTCCTCAAGGTTCCTCTGAGGTATATCCTATGTTATAATTTCCTTTCTTTTTAAGGCTGAACAGTACTCCGCTGTATGCACTGACCACGTTTTGTTTATCTATTTATCCATCAGTGGACACTTTGGTTGCTTCTACCTCTTGGCTGTTGAGAATAGTGTTGCATTGCTCATGGGTTTGCAAATATCTATTGGAGACCCTGCTTTCAGTTCTTTTAGAAGGATGCCTGGAAGTGGAATCACTGGATCATATGTCAGTTCTATTCTGCATGTAATTTAACGCCTTACTACTTTCCATAGTGGCTGCACCGTCTTACAGCTCCACCACCAGGAGAGCACAAGGGTTCCAATTTCTCTACACCCTTGCCAACACTTCTTTTACCTTAAAAAAAAAAATGGTAACTATCTTAATGGATGTGAGGCAATATCTCATTGTGATTTTGATTTTCATTGCTCTAATGATTAATGATGTTGAGCATCTTTTCACGTACTTTTTGGCTGTTTCTGTATCTTCTTTGCCCACTTTTTAATCAAGTTATTTGTTTATTGTTGTTGAGTTGCAGGAGTTTTTGTCTTCATATCAAGCCTTCTCATGTATATGACTTGCAGATACTTTCTATTATTTCATAGGTTTCCTTTTCACTCTGTTGATGGTGTCCTTTGATGCACAGAAGTTTTTAATTTTGATATAGTCCAATTTGTATCTTTTTACTTTTTCTGCCTGTGGTTTTGGTATCGTGTTCAGGAAGTCCTTGCCAAACCAGTGTCATGAAACTTTCCATCTATTCTTCCTTCTAAGGGTTCTACAGTTTAAGGTCTTACATTTAGGGTGGATTTTGAGCTCGTTTTGTGTATGTTTAAGGTCAGCATCCAGCTTTTGCACGTGGGTGTCCAGTTTTCCCAGCACCACTTGTTGAAAACACTATTCTTGGTGCCCTTGTGGAAGGCCAGCCGACCAAGTTGTTTCTGGGCTCTCATTGAGTTTTTTGTATTTTCTAAATGTTGACATGTTTCATTTACAGTATCAAAATGTCACATTCCTAGTATCACCACCAAACTCATCAAAAAGTCCTAAAGCATTGGTAGGCTGCTCGCACTGACAGGTCGTGTCTTCCTAGACTAATTTTTACTACGTAGCTCAAGTTTTTATGATCGTCAGTGAGGCTGACTGTCGTTTGCCTTGTAGTGACAGGGTCACTGCTTTCATTTGAAGATAATCTCTGCCAAGCACCCAAATCTGAATATACGCATGCTGTATAATTCCAGGTGTTGATGAGGGCGGGAGTAGGGAGTGTGGACCGGGGGGGCGTCTTTGAGGAGCTGGCGTTTGAGTAAAGCTCCGGATGAAGTGGAGGAGTGAAGTGCGTGCAGATCTTCCAGGGGGAGTCATGTGGACATTAGGGAGGCGGCATTTAATGAGGAGAAGTGACGGTGGAATTGCTTAACAGGTTGACTTTATAGCATTTCCTGAAAGAAGTCGGCCTTGAGTTACACCTTCTGTCACAGACCTGTACGAAGCCTTGGGGAGGCCAGCCCTGTCCCTCGGAGGCCACTGCAAGGAGACGTGCTTTTCCGAGGACCCCCTTCTGTGGACTTAAATCAGAGTTGACCTATTAGGAAATTATAGGCTGATACTTAAAGACAGGGTTCAAAAACTAAAGAGAAATTTGAAAACCACTGTGTTGAAGTCTAAGAGCTCTAGCGTGTAGCCCTCATGGGCACGTGGCAGGGATGTGAGTTTCCTGGAGAGCTTTGCAAAACTGAACATTCCCCTTCCTCACTCCCGCGGGTCTGATGCTTCCAGCAGGACAGGGAATCTCAGCAACCTACAGGCATTCTTAGCAACTGTATGTATTTTTAGGGCAGCTTTAGGGTCATAGCAAATTTGGAAGGTCCAGAGATTTCCCGCCTGACTCCTGCCCCCAGACGTGCACAGTTTACTGAATTAACAGCCTCCCCACCAGAGAGGGACATTTGTTACAGTGATTGTCACTCAGAGCTCACAGTTTACATATGGGTCACTCGGTGTTGCATATTTTGCAGGTTTGGACACGTGTGTGACATGTCCCCAATGTTACAGTGTCACACAGAGTGAGTTCTATGCCCTGAAACCCCTCCCCCTGCCAGCCTCTGGCAGCCACTGATATTTTCACGGTCTCTGTATTGTCACAACCTGCCTCCTGCAGAGTGTCATATAGATGGAAAATACACTAAGCAGCCTTTTCAGATTGGCTCCTTTTACTCAGTAGTATGCATTTAAGGTTTTCCACGTCTTTCCATGGCCTGATAGCCCATTTCGTTTTAGCGTTGGCTAATACTCTTTTGGCTGGATGGACCACAGCTTGCTTATCCATCCACCTGCTGAAGGACATCTTGGTTGCCTCCAAGTTTTGGCAGTTTGGGGTAAAGCTGCTATAAACTTACATGTGCAAGTTTTTGTGTGGATGTAGATTTGGGTAAATACCAAGGAGCATGAGTGGTGAATGGTGGAAGAGGATGAGATAAGTGAAGAAGGGAGCCAGACCTAACCGAGATTGTATTTTTTGTTAAGGAAACAGGACCAAGCCAGAAAGGAGCAGAGAGTTGAGGATGTACGTGCAGAGAAGTGACTCACTGCGGGGTTTAGGCGGAGTGAGTTTAAGGCGGGGCCTCGCTTGAGAGTGGCTCGCAGAGGGGCCAGGTGGGTAGGTTAGAGGCAGCCATGAGGCAGATGCGTCACTGAGTTGGCGGTCAGAGGGGCTGAGCAAGAGAGCGAAGGTGGTGGCCGGAGACAGGAGTTTTCAGTGCTATTAGAAGCTGTATGTTCCTTAAGAAGAGGTTACTTCTTCAGGAAAGAGACCTTCAGCATATCCAGTAAAAGGAGGGGGCACTGTCAAGTCAAAGAAAGAAATGCTTGTCGATCATCTGTCTGCTTTATACCCTGCTGTGTGCTTGCCTTTTGTGGGAACTTTTGGTTTAGTTGGACCTCGCACACTTTCTAACAAATGCTAGTTGAGAACTGAACTAGAGCAAATTGACTGCCGGACTCGGGTGCGTAGAGACAGGAGAGGGCGGCGGCAGAGGGGGGTCAGCGGGGGCGCCCCTGGGGGGCTGCTCCTTGTAGGTCCTGCAGCCACTGCCCGCCCCTCCACCCGGCAGGCTCACACTGTGTGTGTATGTATGTGCATATGTGTATGTGTGTATATGTGTGTATGTATGTGCGTGTGTGTATTTGTGTGTATGTGTGTTTGTATTTATGTGCATATGTGTGTATGTGAGTATGTGTGTGTGTGTGTGTGTGTTCCCCAAACACAGGACTTGGGACCCTGACATCTGGAGTAGACTTACCGAGACAGTGAGGAACCCAATTTAACATCTGACGGTGTCCTGGATATCTCAGGAAATGTGGCCAATGTTAGACACAGAAGTGCAGTCAGTCACAGTGTCCCTTCCTAATCTGCGCCCCAGTGACACCCAGTGTAAACGCTGCCCTTGGAGTTGTGACCACAGGTTCCCTGTGCCTCCTTAGATGTAAATCCTCGTTGGAATTTCTGAACTGCCAAGACAGAGCATTGCAGGAAGCTCGTGTCACCAACTTAGGCGAGCAGACCCCTCACTCCCAGACCCACAGCCCCCAGTGTCTCCAGTTCCACAAATCCCTGTGCCACAGTGAAAACAATGTCACTGTCTCCCATAAAGTCTTGTTTTTTCAGGCTGCCTTCCACTCAGACCCTCACACATTGTTAACGTGAGAGACCACAGAGCAAACAAATGCCGGTGGAAACAGAGGGTGGGGCCAGAGCAGAGGGCCGACCCTCTCTTTGTGTTCATTCCTTTTCCAGCTGGTCCTGCATTTCTTATCAGCGTCTGCCAGTCACAGTCAGTGGCCTTGAGCTCACCCTCCTCATCACCCTCTGCCTAAATTATTTGTTTAACCCTTTGGTATCGATAGTTTAAGCTGGGTAAGCAAGGAGTTATTCCCCCTTCCTTGGAAAGAGTTCCAAGAGGGTGGGAGGAGACCTAGAAAAAGGCCGAAAAACTCTGACTGCACATGTGGACTTGGGTCACCCTCGGGGCGAGGGGTGAGCCGGGGTGGGAGGGTGGGGTGAGAAGGGACAAAGACGAAGGCCTGGGTCCAAACCAGAAGTCACGCCTCTGACAGTTCCTTTCATCTTTTCTTTGAGTTAAGGCTTCACTTCTTTTCTTGCAAACTCAGGCCAAACGTGCGGTCATATTCTGCCCATCAGGGGAGAAGGGAAGAGAAGGTGGTGGCAGGCAGAGGCAAGGCTGGCACGGTGCTCCCGGCCACCGAAGCCCATTTCTCACGCCTCCCTGGTATGTACTTCTTCTAACCGGTGGAAACCAAAGCAGGTATTCGCAGAGGAAAGTGCAACTTCGGGCCCTTGGTCGGTGAGGTTCTGTCTTGTCCTGTTGTTCCTGGGTGCTTGCTGAGGCACCTGCTGAAGCCGTTTCTGCCCAGACGTACTTCTCGTGCAAAAGCAGTTGCCCTGGCCCCGACCTCCCTCCAGACGTGTGTCTCACCCGCCCTTCCCCGGGCAAGACTGCGGTCTACTTCCTGAGCCCGCGGTGCAGCCAATTCTCTGTATTCCGCCCCATTCATTTCAAGGGCTGTTTACCTTATTTACTGAAATTACATAATTTTTTTGAAAAAGCAATTTGAGCTTGGATATGAGTTCTCTAAGAAGAGGGGCTTATGTCTCTTGCTAACTGAGCTTTTGGCCTGTTCTTTCAATTTTGATACACTTGCTTGGAAATTGATCTAAAAATATTTGTTGCTAATACCATAAAGACCCTATTAAATGGCATTAAATTTAACTTCTTGTAAGAGATCTGTTGGAAAATTGTTTATGATTTCAAGGGCAGTTTGTACTTTCTAGATATCCGCTCTGTTGGCCTGACATGTAGGATGAAGTGCTGAGGATAAAAGGTCAAAGGACAGAGCCAGCCCCGCACTCCTGGGTGTGAACCCCTGCGAGGGAGCCCTGGGTCCATAGGGGTGGGGATGACTCACTGTTCTTCACAGCCACCATCTGGGTCTCCAGATTTCACAGGTCCGGTGACAGACATGTGGGTCCAGGCGCTGTGGTGTAGCCCTTCCACCTCCAGAACAGATGGTGGCCATGGGTAACAACCTGGTGACCCGTGTTGGAGCAGAAGTATGCATCTCCGTCTCCAGAGGCACACACTCTGCGATTCCATTTATATTACGTTCAGAGCAGGCAGCGCGAGTCTATGGTGACGTGTCAGGAGAGCGGGAAGGGGCGGGGGCAGGCGCCTAGGGTCCTAGGAGCACACGCATGTGTCCTGACCTGGCTGGGGCTACACTGGGGCACGCTCTTGTGAGTGCTGGCTGAGCTGTCACTTTACATGCAAATTCTATTGCAGTTACGGGGCCAATAGTCTTGTAGGAGAACAGTGTGGAGGGGAGTCATTTCCTGGGAGTGTGCTGAGAGCTGCCCTGGAGGTTTGGAGGAGGCACAGCAAGAAGACAGCCCAGGCTCCAGGAAGGGCTAGGAGAGACGCAGGCTCCCTGGGAGGGAGGCGGGGGCAGCACCCCGACGTCTGGGGTGGGGCGTGTCACTGTCACCCCAGATCACTGAGTCCAGGGGACAGTTGCCGGCTCCTCTGCGTTTCAGCCTCTGTGGGCATTTGGTTTCGCTGACTGCTTTCAGAAACGTGGGTCCGAGATGGCGTTCCCCACAGGTCCTCCTCCTCCCTCTCAGCCATCCTGGTCCCTTCCTTTCTGGTTCCCTGTGTCGCTTGTCCCTTGTCTCGGCCTCTAAAGGTTGCCGACCTGAAGAAGACCTGTGGTCATCCCTCTCGCATGCTTGTCCACCTGTGTCCATGGTTTGGGCCCCATTCGTCGGCTCCAAATTTGGTGTCTCCAGCCCACATCTCCATGCCCAGCCTCAGAGTGGTCCTCGGACGTGCCAGCTGGACTCCACCGTTGGTGTCCTGCAGGCAGCTCAGGATGCAATAACCCCAGACCCAAGCCCCCCCGCCCCACATCCCCTCCTTCTGTTTGCCCTCAACCAGCAAATGGCCCCCGAGTGCAGATGGCCTCTGTCTGTGAGGCCAGCATAACCGGCACACGCCTCCGCCGTAACTCGGTTCACACTTGGTCTAAGCAGTGAACAAAGCGGCGGCCACTGCTGTCGTGTACCCTCCTCCAAGAAGCTCGCCTGGGTTAATGTTTAGTGGGACATGATTGGGCCTAACGTGCTGGCCTTTCTGGCAGGACTCGCCGTGGCTTCACAGCCGTCCCACCCTCCCAGTGGTGTAGAGAGAACACGGCATCTCGGGTCCTGTCTTTCTTCCGGCCGGTGACAGAACTGCAGCTGCTGACTTAACGCCATGGGGATGTCCTGAGAGGGCTGACCTTGGCGTCACAGACCGGCCCTCCCTTCCCTCCGCCCAGGCTCTCCATCTGCTCTCCTGCCCGCTGGCTGTGCTCGCAGGTGAGCCACTGAAGGCTCGCGTTCCAGGACTGGGTGATCGGCAGTTCTCTCTCTGTCTCTCCAGCAAACCTCCCCAGAGAGTCCGTGTGGCCTGATGTGGCCCATGAGCTCCGCTGAGCTGGCCCCTGAGAGCAGGGGGAGGGAAGGCCTACGGTCCAGGCCTGCCCCCGGGGGAAGAGGGAGGGGTGGCCTGCCCGCGGCAGCCTCTGCCGGGCCGAGCCGGTGCTGCGCTCCAGGCTGGCAGCAGCACTGTGACCCTGGGGGCCGGCCCACCTTCCCGACTGTGGTTTAGCCTCTGATTCACTCCACCTGTCACCTGTCTCTCCTGTCAGCCACCTAATTCCTCAGACGGGCCATTGTCAGGGGAACGGGAAGCAAAGAAAGGGACCCTTTCAGCCTGTATTTTCAGTTCGCCCTCTGTCCTTGCCTGCCCCGCCCTGTCCCGTGTCATGGGAATGAGGAAGGAAGACGCCAACGGCAGGTTCTGGCTGGTCCGGGCGGAGCACTTGCAAGTCACGCAGAACAGGCTACTGAGGGGTCGGGTTTCCAGGAAACGGCATCTCCAGCACCGTCTTGTCCACGGCACCTGGCACGGGCTCTGACCCCCGCCCCCGCCCCCGCCCCTGCAGACTGTAAATCGAAGGACTGTTTGGAGGAAAGACAGAGCTGCTGCCCCGCAGCGCAAGCTAAGATGAGTCGCCGGCAGTGGACAGAGCGCTGGGCGGCCAGGCGGCCGCGGCCGACCTCCCACTCCGTGCTCGTCCCTGCCCTCCCGGTCCACGCACGGCCAGGCCCCTGTCCCCGCCCCCGTCCCCACGCTGGCTCGTGCACTCACGCCTGCCCTGACCCCATCTAGGCCCCAGCTTTCTGTCAGCGGAATGAGAAGCCGGACACAAACACTCTTGCTAACAGTCCTGGGATCTTTCACTTAGGAGAAAGCCCACCACACACACAAGACACAGCTCCTGTATTCTGGAGCTGATGTGGTAAAATCACCACAAACCATTTGAACTGTCCAGCAATTTACTAGTAACGCACTTCCGGAAGAGGGGAGGGGAGGCCGCGGTTTCTCCCTGTTGTACAGATTCTATATGTGCTGTTCCTGAAAGTAAAAATCAGCGTCGCACAAAGCTGCTGAAAGCTTTATGTGGTCTTAGCGCGCACCACACCCAGGCTCGGTGGGGCCCGTTTCCTTGTTGGAGGGCGCGCAGCGGAGAGCCCCACACGATGGCTCAGCCGTCCAACGTGTGCTTCGTGGATTAGCAAAGTTAACGAATGATATCTTATTCCTGGCTCCTTCTCCTGAAACGTAATATTTCCAAAGGAGAATAAGCTGCTCGCACCCCGGTGACCTTCCTCCTCCAGGGCCGACGTGCTTGCTTCTCTCAGCCAAGGCCTTTCCCTCCCCACAGAGTAAAGCAGAACATCCGGAGAAACTGGCGGGTCCCTTTCCAGGAGATTACGCCTTCTTCTCGGCTCCGAGTTTTCTGGGAGATGAGTCTTGACAGCTCGAGGTTAGAAGCTGGTGTTTGGGTGGCTCGTGAGACAGGCCGAAGTCCGGGGGCCATGCCATCCCCCTCCTCCCGTTGCCCCTTCTCGTCCTTTCAGGCCCTCTTTCCTTTTCACTGCCTTCCCTGCTCTGGGCCCTGACCCCTGAGAATACAGTGCACGAAGGACCCCCCTCCCATCCCACCGCCAGGCCAGGGCCACCGGGAAGGGAGTCCCCTGCTGACGCTCTGCCTCTCCTCCTGGCCTGGCCTGAGGCCGGGGCTGCCGGTTGAGCAGCCTTGCGGCAGGTGGATGGGCTCTGTCCCGGCCGCAGTGAGGGCTTTGGTGTGTCAGCTCTACTCACTGGTCACCCTCCACGCTGCCCCCTCCCATCAAAGAGAGCGGCCTGGCTGAGTGTCTGCTCTCACCGTGGGGCTGACTGGCGGGGGCTCTTTGGAGACAAGGCACAGGAACCACTTACAGGCTGAGGGGAAAGGAGAAGGCCCAGCTGTAGGGCGTCTCAGGAAGGAGCTGGGTTCTCAGGACTCCGTCCTCTCAGCTCCCAGTGAGAAGCTGTGAGCCAGGCTCTTGAAATACAGCTCTCATGGCATTTGGTCAGAGAGAGAAAGGATGAGGCGAAGGGTCGCTGGAGTGCCAGGAGGACAGGTGTCTGGGAGGAGACACACCGCCCCTCGGGGTATGGACGGTGGAGGCCGAGAGTCTGTGTGTTTGGTGAAAAGCAGGGAGACGGGGCGTAAGTGGTGGGAAGACTAAGCACCGAGGAGGAGAAAGGCCTGAGGAGCCCCCCGGCCCGGGCTGGCGGGCTTCCCGCAGGCGGAGTGTGAGACGTGAACTGTGTGCACAGCGCTCCCTTCCACGACCAAGGAAACAGAGCGGGCCGGGCGCGGAGCTGCACTGGGCGCCCTTCTTAGCTCCAAACCACTTCTTCACAATGATGGACCGTTAGGTTTTGGAGGGCGCCGTTTTCCACCAGCCCTGGCGGTGCTGGAACAGAGCGCGGGCCACCAGCTGCGAAAACAAACCCGAGGGAGAGAAAGTCCACTTGGGTCGGCAGCTGGGGTCGGCACCCCCCGTCCCGGGTGGAAGGGGGCATCGGGGACAGGACCGGGACGGGGCTTGGGCAGGAGGGGTCCTCGGTGGGGGGGCAGGGCCTGGTGGCCCTGCAGACCCACAGAACATGGAGAGATTTGCAGCCCCCTGCTCCTGAATTTTGTGTCATGGGAACCAGAGGTACAGGAAGGAGGCAGCACATATGCCCTAAGGAAATGAGGGGCAGGAGTGAGGGTGCCTCTGAGCACAGCGCACACTGGCACACGGGACTCACCACCGCAGTCCTGCTCAGCCCCGCCGCACGCGGGTGACGGAGCCCCGGGCACACCCGATGGGGGTGCAGGGTGGCCTCCAGAAGGGTCATCGGGTCTAGGGCTTCTCAGAGAGGGTGACCTAGGGTGAAACCCCAAATGGGCCGTGGCGAGATTTTTCCTCTTTTGCTTGGAAGTCTTTGTTTATTCTAAGCAGCGTTCCATACATTTGTTTCTGGTTGGTTTTCTCCTTTTCCAGAACTAGTTGGGTTGAAAACTGCCTTTAGCCCAGAGGGCCCTTGGTGGCGTGTGCGCGTGGAGCCGTCTCTGCGTGTGACTCACGGGGTCCCCGCGCCCGTTCTCCAGGAGCTGGCCGGCTGAGCGGGGCTGACGTCCCAGGCTCCTGTGCACAAGCTCTGACGGGGTGTTTCTTCCCGACGAGCTGCAACCCTTCCCGGGGACAGAACTTGCAGCTGCCAGGATGGTCCCTGGCCTGAGGACTAAACCCTGCTTTTAGAGACACAGGTTTCTTTCCTTTCTTCCACACTCACACCTGGATTCTGAGTCATCAGCTAAATTCAGGTGGAAGAAGTCAGATGCTTATAAAAACATTCTCAGAAGTCATGCCTCACCTTTAAGGGGACCCAGGTCTAGATGTTTCGTTAAACATTTATCACTTTTCGGGGGGGAGACCAACTTTACTTTCCTCTTCTGGGGAATTACCCAGAAGCCATAAAATGCTGTTTTATAACTGAATGTCCCGGTTTGCATCTCGTGGAACGAAGCAAAATAAACATAAACTTTAAAAATATGGTCACGGCCCATATATTTAAAGAGTGTTGCGACCACGGACCAGCGCAGCTCAAGTATGTTTCTTTCATGTTTAACCTTACAGGGTGAATAGGTTCTTCCCCCCAGTATCTATCTTATTTCCCAATTAACTGACTGATTTCTGCTGTAGTTTTGATTAGGAAAAAAGGAGTGTGATGGACTCTTACGTCTATTTCAAAAGTAAACCGTATCAAAATCTGAGAAAACTTCCTGGGGGTGAATGCCTTTCCCCGCTGCCCCACCCGGTCCTTCACATGTCCCTTCAGTGGCATTGCTTTTGCTTGTTTTCCAGTTTTGCTTTCCCTTGGAGTTCATAGGCACCTTCTCCGTGACGAACTTATCCTAGTTTAAGTGCGCTCTCCCTGCGTATGAAAGTGTCATGAAGGGAGCGGTTTGGGGCCTGGGGTTTGCCTCGGGACACTCGAGTGGGGTGAGGTGGTGGGGTGGGGGTGCAGGGGAGACCACGTGGCCGGGAGCTGGTCATCACCGAGGCTGTCCGTGGGCACGGAGGTTGCTGCGTTATTCTGGTCAGAACATGCCTGAGATTTCCCACAGAAGGTCTCTCCTGGGCTCTCCTGTCCTCACTGCTCTCGTCTTCTGGGTGCTGGTTGTTGATCCTTATCCCTCCTCGAGACCCTCAGTGTTTACTCTGGAAAGGACGCCACTGTGCCCAGCTGGCTGCCGCCGGCAGTGGGGCTTCTGGCGCTCTTCCTGGCGGTGCCCCTGCCCCAAGGAGACTGCTGATCGGCTGCGTGTCTGCGTGCGCTCACTCTCACTTCTGTCCGGGCGGGTGAGCCGCCCGGGAGCACAGGGTCCACTTTTGCCCCCTCCTTCTCCTTTCTTCTTTCCTCTCGGTACCAACGCAACGCCCTTTCCTGTATTGTGTCCGGAAAGCTGTCCTATAGCAAAGTCTCAAATTCAAACTCCTGCAGAGTCAGACCGGTGGCCAGAGCGCTCAGCTGCTGGAGGGCATCCACACAACACGCGGGAACAGGTGTCTCCACGCAGACACGGGGCAGAGCAGCTCCAGAGGGAAGAAATCGCAATCTGCCCACAGCTGGGGAGCAGACACGTTCGGGGAAAGCCAGGGGGATCTGCTGGGCGAGGGCGTCACCACCTGGAGTCAGAACGCAGAGATGGACTCTAACTTCTGGAAGTCTCTCCACTTTACCAGGCTCCTCAGAACACAGTAAAACTTCCTTTTACGCTCTCTCTGAGGATTGGATGGGTAACTCATAAAATACTAGATAAATAATAGTACCAGGATCCCAAATTACTTCAATAGACAAGAATGACGAATTGGAGCCAAGAAGGTGAAACACAGTAAAAACAGTTGTACGTCCTGCATTTGGGTGACAAGGCCTGACGGCAGCGATACAGCAAAGGCCTGACACTGCGCACACAGAGAGGGCCTGGGGTCCCAGAGAACCTAGTTTGAGCCACAGTGAAGTGCAGTTACGGAAAAGAGAACACACATCAAGCGGCAGGCATGCGTTCATGGTGTCCAGATCAAGGGAGGCAGTAGTTCCGTATGTGGTGCCCCCTTTAAGAAAGATACTAACACATTTGGGGAAATCCAGAGGCGAGTGAGTGAGATGAAAAGGAGTCTGGGAACGATCATTTGTAGGGTCATGAAAGGAAACTAGGGTGGTTCTCTGGAAGAGAAACAGGGACTGGATGGCAGGTCCTTGCAGAGGGCCGGGGGCAGGTGGTTCCTGATGCAGTGGAGGGTGCCCCCCCCATCTCTCCCACTGAGTGGAGAGGCAGGACCTGGGCAGGGCCGTGGAGCAGGCAGTGGAAGGCGGGCTGGAAGAGAGACAAGAATGCCGAGTACCACTGAGCGGGCAGTGCGACGCCACCTTTTCCTGTTCCCTCGTTGGTCCAGGGTAGGGGTGTAGCTTTTGGGGGTGGGGCTCAGTAGGC